AATGTTATTTTTTTAATTCCATATTTTAGCAAAAACATACAACACTTGCCTTTCTTGAGTCTGGCTTATTTTGTTTGTTTTAGATGGTGATCTCTAGTTCCATTGGTTTTACAGTAAATGACTTGATTGAGTCATTCTTTATGGTGGAATGATACTGTATAGTGTATATACCACATTTTCTTTACCTATTCATCCACTGATGGGCACATAGACTGATTCTGTGTCTCAGCTATTGTGAGGAAATCAGTATATTTTATGAGGATCTCTGAATGATGTTCAGTACCTGAAGCATGAAACTCACTGCAATGCAGACAGCTGGTGAGCACATGTCTACAATGTCCTGTGTGTTTTCACATGCAGAGGCCAAACTTGGCTCAGGCCTGGTCTTGGAAGTCAACAGCCTCCTGGAAAAATAAAGCTGATTTATGTTTCCCATGGGACTGATATTCATTATAGAAATTGTTCAAAACTGTTCAAACTTAGAAAGGATTATGATAATGAATAACATTTCTTCAAAGTAAATATTTTCATATGGCCATTTTAGTGACTATCAGTAACATAGGATGAAGCTCACAGCATATTTTAGGAGCTATAATTATCCCAGACCATGTCTACAAAATATAATTTAGACACTAAAACGTTCAGAAGAAAAGATTTAAATATAAACTGAATCCTCAGAAAGTACTCAAGCAGACATGTTTCCTTCCTGATCTTCAAATGAGAGCGATGGTCTCAGGCACGGAAAAAGATCCAGGGGCAAGAGAGGATGTTCGTGGAATGCTTTCTCCAGGACTGACTTGCTCCATGAATATTTCTGTATACTTCTGGGATAAACTTACTAAAGGACTAGGTTTGAAGGAGAAGTGCCAAAAGAAAGAATTTAAGCAAAGCAATCTGCTTAGTACTGTGATCATTACACTGACCATAAAGAACATCTTAGGGCAACTTGACTCCCAGCATTTAGTTCTGTGTCTTTGCTCTTTGTTCTTTTTGAGCAGCATTCAGTTGATGGCTCGAACCTTTTGTAGCATATTGAAAAGGGTATAAAATATGCAGTGATACAGACTTCGGGCTAATATATTTTCAAAAATGTTGCATGCCTCATTTCTCACGTAAATTTTTAGGTTGCAGTCAGCCTTCAGAGCATCATTCATATTCATGAGAGAAAAGAAGGATAACATTTATTACCTTCGCAGTTGGTGATACTATGCACTGCCAAGAAATCTTACCTAGGACTAAACCAGTACATTCTCCCCCTGTGCACTTTTAACAGGAAAAATACTGTTAGGGGAATAACTTAATTAAAAATAAATATGTACATTAAGCATGCAGGTATATATCTGTATACATATACATACACTTTCCCTGCTGTGACAATTATTAAAATTTTAGATTACTCCACACTCAATTCAGCCAGTTTCTCTCTTGACATCATTTACCATGGAAACTGCAAGATTCTGTATTTGAATTCCCATTCTCCTCTATACTTAGGGATAGCCATGGGATCTAGTCAGGGCCAGTGAAATGTCACAACCTCAATAGAAATTCCCAGGGAGTGTTTCATTTTCAGAAAAGGTAAAAGGGAGAAAAGAAAAATATAATCAAAAGTATGAAGCTTTGTCCTTTGCCCTCTTTCCTCCCTGGAGCTGGAGGAAAGATGAGTAGTGAGTTAGCTGCCATATTTCAACCTTGAGGTAAAAGCACACACAAAGAATGCTGGGAAGGCAGGAAACTGCACCCACATTGCTCTGCCTCCATCTGGACTTTTATCTAATAGAAACGTAAGTCCCTAACTTAGTTTAAGCCACTATTGTTATTTTCTGAGTTTCTCAAGGCTGAATATTTTCTAATTCATCCATCTTATCTTTAAAGCTGTCACTTTGCTGGTGCCGAAATCTATCTGCTGCATCCAAGCAATCAGACAGAACTGTCTAAGGACCAGGGTGGTGTCTAGACTCATCTCTGCGTGCTACAAGAACTAGAAGACTAGACTCCTTCTTCCACATAGAGTGTAACTAGTGCATCTAGAATTAGTCATTTACCCTTAAGATGAGAATTAGATTAATAAAAATTAAACATTGGCATTAATATAGATTTAAAACTGTATCCATACAGCACACCTTTTTGGGAAGTATAGGCAGAGTGGACCAAGGTGGGACCATTTTGTGGTGAGCTTAGCTTCAGACATGGCAGTCACTGAGTTACTGGAGGAACTGTGAGGTTATTAACAATCAGGAGAGGAAGTTCTGACTTAG